GGGTAAGGCTGTGTTAGCATTCATGTGGAGGAATACAATTTTAAAGATCTACAGTATGTTTAACAATTGTGTCTTTATTGTAGTCTATTTTAAACAACTTCAGATTAGTTTTTCTTATGGATAGAAAAAACAGTTCAGTACATTATCTGGTGAAAGAATTTGCAGAATTAAAAGGAATTAAAAGCTTGGATATTGCAGTATTCATGATAGGCCTTACCACTTTTCACTGGAGCTCTGGGGCCTAAGTGGTGCTGCAAACCTTCTCTGTGTAAGAGTAAATGCTAACATCTTTCTACAGTCCTTCCCAGTTCAGATTCCAACCCTGGTAGCAATCACCACTGCATGTTCTTATAAGCATTTCAGTAAAACTCACCAGAAGACACCACAATTGTGACTGTTACCATTTATTACCATTAATTCACAAGTGACTCATCATTGGTACTGCTTCAAGGGTCAATTCCATCTTACTTGAAATAAATTGGAATTTAGAATTTTTCATATTTATCTAGAAACATTTATGAAGTAGATGATTACTCTTGTAAGTCCCTTATGACATTGTGGCCATTCTGCTGCGTTTTTGTTGTGGTTTGATCTGTGATTGACTCTATTTTTTTAATATAACATCTCATGGATTGGAGGCAGGATTAGATTTTAATTATTTTTCAATAGAAATTAATTTTTAAATAGAAGTAAATAATAAATATCTGAATAAGTAATTTTTTAAGGCAATTGATTTGGAATTATTTAAAACAATTGGTATAATTTTGATCATAGCTGTATTTTGGGAAAAATCTATTGATGTGTATTTATTTTTTTGATTTTTAATTGATAATTGTTGTAGTCGCCTCATGGATTTATTGAGGTCATAATTCTTCTTCTAAAACAAAGATTTTCTTCATGTGGAATGCTAGTAGTAAGGAAACTAGCCATAGGTTTTTGTCCCTGTTGAAGGCTTGTGTTTGCCAAAATATAGATAAGTGTTAAAACATAATTTTGAAGCAGAGAGAAAGTATGTCCAATTGATTCTACTACTTACATTGTTGTTGTTTTTTTACCGTACAGTGCTTATAAAATTTTGCATGCACAGTTATTTTCTTTTTCCTTTTTAAGAATTTTCTTTTATTATTTGAAAGGTTGATTTTGAATAATGCCTATTTTTATATTGTTGTTTCGATTTTTTTAGGAGGTACTCATTTAGTCATCGTCACAATTCCAGAAAAAAATATAAATGTAACTGACGGCCAGTCTGTGACTCTCCTGTGCACTTTCACCACTACAGCATCTGAGACAAACTTGAATATTCAATGGAGTTTTATTTCATCAAAGTCTATGACCCCTGTCCAGGTATGATGATATAAAGCATATTACATTCTCAGTTTGCAAACAATCATCATTACTGTATATATTATTTGAACATTTCTAAAGCATATATATATATTAGGTAATGATTTTGTGTTCACAATTAGGACTGCAATTTAACTGTAAGTATATATTTGCTGTTAAATGTTGTTTGTGATTCACCATCTGTAATGAATAAGACAAAGACAAATAATAGCAGCACATACTTCGTTTATTCCCTCATGGAAACATCAGTTATTCTACAGCATATGACAGTAAGAGATGCTCAGAAAGAATAAAAGTACAAAAAGCCCATCTACTGTAGGTCCTTTAGTTTCTAGAAGCGAATTATTTTGCCATTTCATCGAACAGCATACAGTAGTATCAGCTTCGACAACATGCTGATGGCTAGGAAGCTTATTTTAAAATCCCACAACCTTTTTAATTCTAATTTCAGTTTCAAATCTGCTTAATCACAGTTTGCTCTTATGGCCACTAGTTTATGGTTCACATTTGATTCTGAAGATGTCCATTGAGTTTATTGTCAACATCTTTCAGGATTCCGAATCAGATCCTAGTTGAGGATTCACACACAATTGCATGCTATTGCAACGTACAATTTAACATAACATCCCTCTCTTTTAATTCAATACTTTTAAATGTGGCCTAATATTTTGCTACATGTTATTGCATTTCAAAATTGACTAGAGAAAAGTGTTGCATCAATGTAAACAGACTTTTACTTTCACATACACTAGGTGGGTTCTCCAAGCTAAGAGTTTCCATCATATACTATACATATCCGTTGTTTTAGAACTGCTTTCTTCTTTCAACTAAAAAACAACAAATTGTGGAATAATTTGTTTTGATTTTTTAATGATTCTTCAATACTTTTCTCTGGCATGTCTTCAAACAAATAAACATAATTGTGCTTAATTAATTTGGCAGCATACATCATATGCTATCACAGCAGTAACTTCTTTTAATAAGTCTGGGAAACAAAAAAGGGGAGGGGAAACATACAAATTTAAGGGCAGTGTTTCAGTCGCAGAATACAATGCACAATGCTTCATAAAATATGAACAATACTTTTAATTTGTCTAATCTCATAACGAAAAAATGCATGGGTTTCGATCAAGATTTTCTGGAAATCCATTAACATAATTATATGACACAGCAAAAAAAAAATACTGAACACAAAAGAGCAAAAACAACCAATTATAAATGAGAAACCTGGCCATTAGAAACAATGATTGCCAAGTTGCAAGAAACATTGGTTGAAAAAGTGACTTGTAAGAAATCAGTGGGGCCTTTGATGGGTGTTGCATGTTGTTTGGTACCATTATGAACCAGCAGCAGATCATGTTGTGAAGTGTGAAATTTAACACCTAATGAGTCAAGGGGGACCTTTTCTGCCCAGAGTAACTAAGGTTAACACCCCTTGTACTTTGCAAATTGTCAAGGGACGTTTAATGTACAAGTATACAAGTAGTCAGGAAATCAGTTTAACACTTCAAACAAAGAATGCCACCTTTGATATCACCACATCTCCTTTGGTTTGGACATTCTGGTCCATAGGGAAAAGTGGCATCTATTGGTCCATCAACACTACCTACAGTACAACACCAACCTGTTTTTCTTCTTCCTGTTTTGAAAGGGTTTAAGGGTCTTATTTTATAGTATTGACAAGAACCAAGCTCTTTTTCTCAGATCTGACAACATCAGACTACAAAAATTGCTACTGTACTTCTTGAAAATAAGGCTGCTTGAAAATAAGAATGCATTTAAAATGTATGGAGTTCTTACATTTTAATCAAAAAACTTTACAACTGACGTAATGTATGCTGACCATAAAAAATACAACTGACAATGTATTTATGTACTGTACATGCAGACACTATTTTTATTAAAATTAGCACATGTTTGAAACAATACCAAAAGCTGGTATGGTTCAAGTCACTATCTTCTGTTTTAAGTTATTTATGACTTACCATATATAATGAATCATAGACTAACAAAACTATTTGCTGAATAGTCTCAGTTTACTCCCCCATGGAAAGGAAATTTATTCTATATGACAGTAAGAGATGTTCATAAAGAATCTAAGTACAAAAGGTCCCATCAATATTGCAGTTTCAAATAACTATGTGATCTGAAAAAATTTTTTAAAGGAAGCAAATTTCAAATTCCCATAAGCCTTTCTGTAAAATTTTTTGTCTTCTGTTTTGTGAGTTAGTTTCTGAGATCTGATAGAATCAGGCTACAAAGTGCAATTACTGTTGGCTGCTTGAAGATATGAATGTTTAAAATGTATAGAGTTCTTACATTTTAATCAAAAAGACTCTACAACTGACTTTAGTTGAGATTGTAATAAAACACTATTATATACATCCTAACTGTGTTTTTTTTATAATTAAAAATACAAAAGATGATAAGGTTCAAATCTAGATGGATGTAGATATATGCACTTGCAAAACATTAATCTGCTACACAACAAAACTTTTATATCTCAAAAAGTTGAGTTAAATAGTACTTGTATTAAATAATAATGTTACTGGAGTTAAAGCTTTTTATCCTCATCATTCTTATCCTTATCATTCTGATGATAGTGGTTTCGGCACAGTAGCAGGGAATAGTTCTTTGATTTCCATACTTGACGAAAGACAAATTAGTTCAGGTGGGTAGCTGCGTCAGCATGCGTAGGCTGCAAAGGAACAAGTAATAAGTTTATTCCATGCTGAAAAAAAGAAGAAAGAGAACACAACGTTTCGGCTGTGGAGCCTTCTTCAGGTGTGAGAGAGACAGGGCAGTAGGCAAAGGTAAAATAGCGAGAGAACAAAGGTAGGGAGGGGGGAGGAGTGAGAGGTGGGAGCAGGGGACAGAAAGAGAGGCCAATCAAGAGGTGTGAAGTCAGAAGGCAGAATGGGTGCAGAGAGGTGTGAAATGAAACTTTCAATGAATGGAGAAAATTTAAAAGAACAGTAGTCTGTCGTTAAGAGAAGGGAGAATGTGTGATCCTAGCTGCAGAATAATTTTGGTTTTGGTGGTCTTTCTGATGTATGAATTCGGAAAAACGTCTTTGAGAACACAGACGGAGAGATTAGAGTGGTCGTGGCCGTCAGAGGTGAAATGAGAAACAATGGGCTTGGAGAGATCTTTAATCTTCACAGCCCTGACGTGTTCTCTGAAGCAGTCTCCGAGTCTCCTTCCTGTTTCTCCAATGTAGATGGCTGGGCATTTATGGCTGGGAAAGACAAATTAGTTGCACTTTTGTAAATTAGATTCCTCTCCTTTATTGTTCTAAAAAAAAATAAGAACAGGTACTGTCACAACAGTTCTCTAACTTCAGATTTAGGTTTTCAGGTATTTTTAATGGACAGTTTCAGATTAGGCATATAAAGTATTGCAGTACTATTTGTAAAAATACTTCTGTAGGCAAGAGGGCAATATTAAATGCTCATTTTAAAACATACATTTATTTAAAAAAATATTTTCTTAAGTTAAACATATTTAATCATCAAAATACCCAGCTTGGTATTTGGTATTTCTGGCTTATCTTGATATTGACATACTTAAATAGCAATGAATGGATCGATAAATGGAGTGTCTGGTTATATCTGCTATTAAAAAAAACAACATACAGTAAGAATCTTTTTTTTTACACGACAATGTGTGCTTTTTAAGCAGTTTACCATACATGTTTGTCACCAAAGAATTTGAAATCTGAAAGTCCTGTCAGACAAGCCTGGTGTTCAAAATTAACCATACATTAATACAGAATAATGTCATCAATATATTAATATGTAATTAATACACGATAAGTAATCATACACAATACGTAATCATGTAGCTTGTTTATTTGGACTACCCCCCGCTCTCCATCAGCCAAGCACTTACAGGCAATATTCCGATTTTCTTGGCTCATCCAGTTAACACCATCATTCTGGACATACAGACATTCACTAAAGCATTTAAAAGAGGCCTGTTTCCCTGTTTTGAAGTGTAATGGTATTTTAATATAGAGGTTAATATTTTCAGTTATGGAGCACAGAAATGGTACAAATATTTTATTCAGTTATTTATTGGACTGTAATTTAACTTGGAACAGTATAGTGCACCATACTGAATCCAGAGAAAATTGCAGGAAATCCATGATCAAAACACAGTCAAGCCAAGGTAAAATAATGAAAATCCTATGTTAAACATACAACAATACACTTTCATCTGGGTACTAACCTAACCAGAAAATTAGTCGATCAGCCAATAGAAAGTATCATTATTGGTTTAATTTTTTCTCAATACAAATAACAGAGAGTGTGGTTCATCATCTGAGTTGACTACAGCTCTCAACTAGGTAGAAGAACCGTAGAACTGTTGTTCTATAGTTAACAAAGCAAAATCCACTGCATCATTTCATTTTTAAATTCAGTTTATAGGCAATTTGGGATAATTATGCAATCTTAAAATTCTGATGTAATTCTTTTGTAAATTTCTCTCCTGTAGGGAATATAACTAAAATGGAAGTATTACCTACTAGCTACCTATTAACTGGATCATATCTCAATCCACTTTAGTGCAATACTGGACTTAAATATTGCAAGTTCCATTTTTAAGCCAGGGGATGATTACTGTCCTCAGACAATCAGTCAGTAACATTTGCACACAATAAGCTTTTTGTAGAGTTGAAATTATACCAGCTTAGATCATTTAAATATCATATTTGTCACCTCAACGATAGATTCTCAGACTAGCATATTTTCACCCAATACAGCCTTCACTGTGCCCCAATGCTCAGAAATTGGATCAGTCTTCCAACAATGTTTGTCTTGACACGGTGTATGGGACTGATAAACGTGGAAGATGTAGCTGGCAAAACCAGGTAAGAAATGCTCAGCATGGACATTTGTTCTGCCCTGCAAACATGCGTTAAAGGGCAAAGTAGAGCATGTCCACTCAGTCACAAAAGGGCAGCCAAAGGAATAGACAGAAACAAGAAAGAGGTTTCC